TTTCTCCTATTGTCAAAGCTTTTTTCAAAGTTATGTGAGGCTTTTCTTGAATTAACCTATTTAATTTAATTTTTTTCATTGTCATAGCTATTTTAACAATTAACTTACTCGGCAATTTTGCCTTTTCTGTTTCAGATAAATTTTTGTTCATTGTTTCATTATTAAAGATAGCTAATGCTAGAGATATTTGAAATAGAAGTTTATCTTGCAGTTCGTGATCATCTGAATCTGCTACTGATAATAACTATTTTCTAATAAGCTTTAGAGCATCACTAGCTTCATCTTGGTGTTTTCTAAGTTTACAGGATTGAAATTTTTTGTAGTGGGGTCTTTCATAAAGATGTCCACTATTTTGTTAAAAGCAGTCTGAGCCAACATAACATGTATGATATTCAGATGATGACTCTTTGGTAATATGTCCCTTGGAAAATGCAGGACAGTTATGAATGCCAATACAAGGTACCTGAATATTCTGCTCATTGACTTTTCATGAATGCTATATACAACAGTTACTACGGCTAAAAAAATACTTTTTTTTATTACAGAAAAGGCAAATATGAAAATGGACAATGCTTTTAGCAATCGAACATGACTTTTTTATGCCTGGTTTGTGAAGTTGGTTCTGATCAAATAGAAAATGAGTATAGCATATACCAAGTCAATCAAGTGCATTTGCTTCTCCCTCCCATACCTTTGCTACTTGTCGCAATCACCGTAAATTTGTTGTGCTATTGCCTTGAATATTTTCAACTGCATGTGCATCTATTTCCTATATTCCTATTATTTGCTGCAATCGCCATAGATTTGTAGTGCTATTACAGCACTTTATTTCACCATCAATGTAATCTATAATTACACATAGTGTTAAATTTTGAATTTTTGCAGGGGTCTCTTCAATTTCTATATCCATTTCATCATCCATTGTTGGGGAGAATTCTTTAAGGAGATCAGCATTTATAGATTCAATCTCATCCAAGTCAATGTATTCACATTTATCACGTATTAAAGCTCGGGCATTTTCAAAAATCAATGGATGAATGGTGAAAGCTTCATTATAATTTTCTTCTAAGGAATCGAATTCCTCCAAGTAAGTAGATTCAAAATCAGTCATTTTGTTTAATAAAATATATTATTTTATAGAAATTTATAAAATAAAAATATAATTTATTTAATAGAAATATTTCAAGATTTACAGTTTAAAAAAAACTGTTCAAGATGGCGAGATTATTTATACCTTTTTTTTTTTTTTTTGTTATAAATTTTATTCTCATTTTTATGCATTTATTTACTAATTGCATTTTCAGTTTATACATAAAAGGATATTACGAAAACAATTCGATCAGTCTTTAAGCTATTCTTTTATTTTCGAAACATTTTGTCAAAACAAAGATCACATCTGGACGAAATATGTTAAAGAACAAAAGGTGTTTGTTCGGGTGAAACTTTTCAAAAATATAATAATTACGTTATTATTTATTTTATTAAATACAATGTATTTTCATACAATACCTATGTGTACATTATTTTTACATCAATGAATTTAATAAAGAATTCAATGTGTGATCTTATATAATCTTACAGGAATATATTATTTATATGTGCATTATTTTTACATCAATGAATCTAATAAAAAGACCTTATATAAACTTATAGAAATATATTATTTATGTGTGCATTATTTTTACTTCAAAGAATTAATAAAGAATTCGATATGTGACCTTCTATGATTTATAGGGGTGTATTATTTATACATCAAAGAATAAAGAATTCCTTATGACGGTATTGAAAATTTAGCACAAATATGCTATGCAAAAAAATTTTTTATTTATTTATTTTTTTGTACAAATAACAATGCCACAATGAATATAAGCTATACAATCCATACAATGAAACATGAATATAAAAAAATGAGAACCCACATAGTGAAATATGAATTGCTAGTAAACTATTTTTCTATTAAAGAGACAAAAAAAAGCATAATTACTGCTTGTTTAAATTACCACTTTCAGCAAATTTCAATTACTGCTCAAATGCCTTTTTTGCCCTTGGTCATACTTAAACTATTTCATAGCATATTTCAAGTCCACTTTGTACATTCAAATCGCCACCTTCAGCAGGTTTTAGATACTACTCAAATGCCTTTTATTCATTCTTGTCTGAATAAGAATTGTAACCTATTTGTTTTATGTAACAAGCAACAAATGCTAAATTAGTAAAATTATAAAACGAGCGCTAACTAATCAAATATTTTTTAGTGCTGGTAAAAAAGCTGCCAGCATGATATAGATTGCTAAATCATATCATTAGGAAAATAAACTAAGGAAATTGAGCTTTTGAAAAAGCGGTTGTAAAAGCGATCATACCCATGTATATAGATCCATATATATTACAGGAGTTAGGGTGCTCTAAATTTAACTGAAGATTTTCTTCGAAAAATAAAGAGTTAAGAACTGAAACTTTGTAATCTAATAAAACTATACTCCTACTGTATTTTCAATTTAAAATGCAATAATTGTTTGGTTTTATGAATTTGGGGCCATCATAGGAAAACTTTTTGCGAGAGTAAAATTTCTATATAAAAATTTGTAACACTTGAGTTCAGTTTTGTATATGATTATATTTTGACATATATAAAGTATTTCTTTGTTGAAATTCATAACTATTTGTACTTCTTTAGTTGTAATCATAGCTTTAATTCCAATTATTAATACTCAGTAATTATGTTAGTATAGTTGTTGATAGGTATATTCATTAGAGTCAATAGCATTCCACAAATTTTGTTGTATAAAATAGTTTGTGGTTATATTGATCATTGATTTAGGTGCAATAATTACCACTATTGCTGCTATAGCTAGTAAAAATATTTTTAACTGTGAAGGCCAACATGTACTTGAAATTTGAATAGGCTGAGGTATTGATAGACTAGATATACTACTAATGAATATACGTTGTCTATTTTGTGTCTCAATATGACTTATGATTTGTATATCATATACTGTTTGTGCTGGTATTGAATGATACAGATCCTATAAAAGTTTATCAATATTCTCGAAGCTTTGTGTAAATTTTCAGGAAGTTATAAATCTTTTAGCTATAAATGGTGTTTGTAGTATGCTTGCAGACTTTGTTTGTTTAGTTTTGAAGCCGTGCTTTATATCTTCCATATTGCTTAAAATCTTTCCTTTTTTTGTTATTATGATTCCTGTAGTATATCGATTATGAATTGTAAATATACATGTATTATTTTTGTTAGTTTGGTTCATTGTATATTTTGTACATCTACTCAGGATGCTTTGTGAATTTACAATCCAGTGTTTAGCCGTGATAAAGTAATTATCATAACACTTGAATTTGCCTATGACTTGTTGATTAGTTACTATCCATTTTGGTAGTTTTCTATTAGAGAATAGTATAATTATACAAGAATTAGGAGTCTGTATGTCGAATAATAGGTATGTTCTTTCTTCTATTCATTGTTGTATTAGGTTAAATATTTTGGTTGTCTACTAGTAACTGCCTTTTGGATTTGATATTTTAAGTTTTCCCAGGTTAAGAATTGTGATGAGTCATAACTAAGAAATTACTCAATAAAGGATAATGAATAACGATTCAGTGATGTTTTGATAATTGAACCAAGCTTTTGTTTAGCTAGTATGTAGTTGATAGTTGTGCCCCGTGTTGCCAATAGTATTGGCTAGGAGTTGGCATTATTAACTATTTGTATTTGTTGTATATGAATCGTTAATATTATACTAGCAGTTAGTGTTTTACTGATTTTTTTAGTGAAGACAGGAGCATTTATAAGTATTGACTAATTTGATAGAGTATCGTTTTGCAAGTCTTAGAGTCTAATTTTAAGTGAAAAGTTGTGAAAAGATGAATCATTGAGTGCTTTGACTATTTGGTTGAGGTATTGCATAGTTTGTATATCTATGATTTGTTTTACTCTGTAAATTTCTTAGTGTGTTATTGTCGAATTTGGAATTTATCTTGCTAGCTCCACTTTTCTTTTAATTCCTGCAATATATTTTTTTGTTAGTTTATTACAAATGTGATTTGAAATGACTGTGTTTTGACAATGGTATGCAAATATAGTAAGTATAACACTATTAACTATGTATATATATTGTTTGTCTGTTATATATGACCTGTTGAGCTTGTTGAGAGCAAATTCTATTTCTTCTATAATTATTTAATATATAGATTGATTTGACTTGATATATGAAAACCAACATCCTAAAAAATGAAATGCTTGCTATAGTAGTATATTATATAGAATAGTATTATCATAGCTAATACTAGTATTTGTATCCGTTGAATTAGTTGCTAATACAGATTTTTGAAGATTGACTTTAATATTAACTAGTTGGTAGAAGGATGATACAACTTTAAGAATCTCTTGCATTGTATTTGCTGAATTAGCTACCTATATTGTATCATCCATGAAGGCCATAACTGATATATTAGAGAAGAATATTTGGCTATTTGGTTCAGGAGTTAAAGTTTCTAATATATAACCTTTGTGTTTTCTGGCTATTTGTGAAATGAGAGGGTCATAGTATATTCACCATAGAATAGGTGATATCATCTCCTCTTGATCTATATCATCCTAGACTTCATAGCTAGGTGATTTTCCTAAATTTGTTAGTACTTGGTTTTGTTGATCATGAAATATACTCAAAAGTAGGGCTATGAAGTTTTTTGGGCATTTGATTCTTCTCATTGCTATTCATAATAGTAGTAGATGAATTAAATCGTATACTTTGGATATATCTTGGATTACAATCCAATATTCCTTATTTTTGGTTACTGTATCTTCGAGTATATAAGTTAGATCTATAATAGGTTTTGCTGTGGATATATGTAGAAGTGCAGCATGATTTTGTGGTGCTAGTATAGAGTATTTGTTCAATATCCTAATTAGTCTTGTATTTATAATTTTTGCAAATAATTTGCATGTATGTTCGATTAATGTGATTAGTCTAGTTTGTGTTAGTGACCCTGTAAAGATAAGCTTTTTTGATATAGGATAAACTAGACTATGTTTCTACTATTTAAATGTAATATTATAGCTTAAACAAAAGTTGAAAATTGATAACAAGACTTGTATTGCATTTAATAGTAACCTCTTTATCATATCATTTGATATCCCATAAGGCCCAGTTGCTTTATACAGTAGCATCTCATTAATAGTTTATATCAGTTCATGTTCAGTAATTATGTTAGATAAAGGTGTATACTACTCGTTATCAATTGCATCTAATAGTTTATAGAACTGTTCCCATTCTGGCTGTTGGGTCTGTTCGGTTGGGTTAAGTTTTGTTCAGTTTGAATAGTATCTGCTAACTTCTTCTTTGATTACAGTTACATTCGTAATTATATCAAATAAAGTTGTTATATTATGAAGCATAACTATGTCAGTATGTCTTCCAAGTATACTATTAATCATCTTTTTCGTATTAGTTTAGAAATTATTGTATTTTTTTGCTACTGCAGTATGAATTTGCTCTCTAATTTCACTTAGGTTTTCTGTATTTCTAGCTATATGAATCATTTTCCTTATGTTTTTGAGCAGTTTTACTATATTTTCAATTTGTCTATATTCTAAATTTTCTGCTCTAATCTCAATTGATTCATCTTATAACAATTCTGAAATTGACTGTAAAGGTTTGTTAATTTTTTAGATCATCCATTTGATTGACTATAGTGGCTTCATTATCATAACTAGTTTAATAACTTTGTTAACTTTGGTCAATGCACAATATAATATAGTTGCTTTATGAGTATAGGCTTGATACTTGAATAGTTGCTGTTTAGTATTAGAAATAGTTCTGTTTGCTGTTTCTTTGATAATTATGTTGAATTGATGGCAGACACAGTTAAGTGTTTGTTCATGACAAGTAATTCGTTGACTTATTTTGGTTTCTATTTTGTCTAAAAATTGTTGCTATATATCTTCTGTCATTTTATGATATGTGAATACTTTTTTAGTTTGTTTCATCTGTCGAATTGCTGGTACTGGATTAACTATCTGCTATTCTAGTATTAAGTTTGCATGATCACTATTAGTAGCTGGAATAAATGGTTCTATTATTAGACTATTATATTTAT